GACAGAGTGAAAAAAAGGAAGCCTGTACCGAATAAAAATATTCCAAAACATGCATCCTGTTTGTAATAAGGCACTAAATTAAAACTGCAAAATATGTGGCAAAGAAATGAACTTTATCCTGAATACAAAGTGTTATGTGTGGGGCAAATCCAGCACAACACATCACTGAGTACCACTCTTCAAATGTTCAATCAGGGTGGTGGCTGCATCATGTTATGGGTATGCTTGTCATCGGCAAGGATAAATGGAATAGAGCTAAGCACAGGCAAAATCCTAGAGGAAAACCTGGTTCAGTCTGCTTTCCAACAGACACTTGGAGACAAATACACTTTTCAGCAGGACAATAACCTACAACACAAGGCCAAATATACACTGGAGTTGCTTACCAAGGCGACATTGAATGTTCCTGAATGGCCTATTTACAGTTTTGACTTAAATTGTCTTGAAAATCTATGGCAAGACTTGAAAATGGCTATGTAGCAATGATCAAAAACGAACTTGACAGAGCTTGAAGAATAAAAAAAAATAAAAAAATGTTGTACAATCCAGGCAAATATTATACAATCCAGGTGTGCAAATATCTTAAGCCTTGTTCACATTGGCAGTTTGAAATGACTCAAATCAAATATTTTTGCATATTCGATTTGAATCTGTTATTTTTCCTGCAGTCTGAACAGTCTGCAGTCTGAAGTCAGATACAAATCTGATTCCTGGCCATGTGACTTGTGCCTGAACGGTCAAATCTGATTTATTTGCCCTCAAGTGGTTTTTAGACTGTTATTTGCCATATCTTGTTGCTTGCTAGCTACTCTCTTGACAGTTTGACAAGAATATGACGTGGTAGCTATCTAGCTTGTTAATTGTTTACAAACAAATTAGTGAATGTGCTAGAAAGCTAAACATCTACCTAGATAGCTAGTTGACTGCTGTGGCTAGCTAAAAAGGACTCATTTTGAAAGTTGGATAATCTTATCCTTTGAGGCTTTAAAAGTGTTTTTACACTATGATTTTGAACATTCACAGCAACTGGGAAACGTCCATGGCAGGCATTGAAGACACCTTAGCTTGCTACATAACTTCTGAGTGATTGGATGCGCAAGCACCACCACCAATCAGCCTACACCACTGTGCACACACCTGTCGTTACTTTGACAACTAGCGTAGCCATGTCAGCAAATGACTGCTGTCTGAATCCACACAAATCCGACTTGGTCACTTGTAACTTGATGTTTGGACAGTCAGTATTCCAAAACAGATTTGAAAAATATAACAGATTTGAGCATTAAGGCTTTAGAGACACTCAGAAAGACTGACAGCTGTAATCGCTGCCAAAGGTGATTCTAACATGTATTGACAACAGGGTGTGAATACTTATGCAAATGAGATATTTCTGTATTTGTTTTTTTTTATAAATTTGCTAAAATTTCTAAAAGTATGTTTTCACTTTTTCATTTTAGGATATTGTGTGTAGATGGGTGATAGAGAAAAATCTGCCTGAATTCAAAATGGATCAAAGTAACACAACAAAATGTGGACTAAGTCAAGAGGTATGAATACTTTCTGAAGGCATCATATGTGTTGAAAACAGTATTGCTGATGAGGGTTGACATTTATGTTTATGTTTAGCCTAGAACAAACCATAAAACCATAACCACATTGACTTCCTGCCATTGCAGACACCAAGGCTGCAACCTGGACTCAGGGGTAGATGTAACATAGTAAATGTAAATCCTGGACACTCCATTTAGTATGATATGCTACATTTCGTATGGTATGTATTAAAGCTGCAATATTCCCAATCTGGCCCTCATACCATCATGGCCACTAATCATCCCCAGATTCCAATTGGCTCATTTATCCCCCCTCCTCTCTCCTGTAACTATTCCCCAGGTTGTTGCTGTAAATGATAATGTGTTCTCAGTCAACTTACCTGGTAAAATAAGGGTAAAATAAATAAATAAAAATGTAACATGTTGGGCGACCCGACCAAATTCACATAGAAATATGAGTTATAGATATGTAATTCGCATTGAAAGCAAGTCTAAGAAGCGGTAGATCTGTTCTATGTTCGCTATTTCTATGCTTCCCGTTCTTAAAAATCGTTTTTGTGTCTTTTACTTTCGGTTTTGTACAACAGCTTCAAACAGCTGAAAATACAATATTTTTGGTTATTGAAAATATATTTCACAGCAGTTTAGATGGTTCAATGATGCATGTTTTTTTGTCGCATAAACTGAAATTAGGCGAACTACTGGAATTTTAGCAACCAGGAAATGCCAGAGCGATGTCTGCATATTGCACCTTTAATTTGTGGATGTCCATCATCCATTTTGTATGATATGTTACGAATTACAATTCACATGATATGTTACGAATTTCAATTTGTTGTGGCTAACATTAGCTAGGTGGCTAGGTGGCTAACGTTAGGTAGGCTAGGGGTTAGGGTTGGTTAAGGTTAGGGTTAAGGTTATGAGTTAGGTTAAAGGGTTAAGGTTAGGGTTAGGTGAAGAGTTAGCTAACATGCAGTTGTTTGAAGAGGTTACAGAAGACAGAAATGCTAAAAGTGTCCCGCTTCTTCTGAATTCACTCAAATAACAGTACTAATAACAGTACTACAAGAAAACATGTACAGGATATAGTACTACAAGAACCAGAGCCCTGACTAACCTAAGTACAGGGGGTCCCTTATGTAAACTGGATATCTTTCCTCCATTGGAAAAGCCTATAAAACTTTCCCACTTTAGCTACTCCATGCTGTCCTACTTTAGCTAGCTATGGTTGCTAAAGTGGGACAACAACAAAAACTGACTGAATTACAAAATGTAAACATAATATTGGCAACTTGCTTATGTATTTTGATACACCAGTACATAGTATGTACATTTACATCCCAAGTTGGCACAGTGCATTATTCAAAACAGAAAAAAGCTATGTCACTTACCTTACTGTGAGCTTCCTGTTTGAAGCTTGCTCTGCCCCCCTCTATGATGTCACACCAATTACGTGATGTGGGTTTGAACATGTGGTTTCTCTGAAAAGGCTTAGTAACAATAGTTTTGATTTGTCAGACCAATAAATAAATGGGTCAGGATTAAGCTGTCCCTGTTTATATGATGTCCCACTCTTTTTTAATTCAGCCTAGAGGTTTGGTTGATGTGTGGTTGTGTTCAACTCCCTACTCTGACATCCATAAAAAGGCTTAAAGGCCATCACGTTCCACATCAAATTGAATTGAGATTACATGCACCACTAAAACTACTGTATGTAGCCTACAATATCCTAAACTACTGTATGTAGCCTACAATATCCTAAACTACTGTATGTAGCCTACAATATCCTAAACTACTGTATGTAGCCTACAATATCCTAAACTACTGTATGTAGCCTACAATATCCTAAACTACTGTATGTAGCCTACAATATCCTATGAGGATGATATTTCCAATGCCAGAATCATGGCTAAGGAAAACACAATAAAACACTGAGTGCAGACTTTTAAATCCACTGTAACACAATAAAACACTGAGTGCAGACTTTTAAATCCACTGTAACACAATAAAACACTGAGTGCAGACTTTTAAATCCACTGTAACACAATAAAACACTGAGTGCAGACTTTTAAATCCACTGTACACACATATAAACACTGAGTGCAGACTTTTAAATCCACTGTAACACAATAAAACACTGAGTGCAGACTTTTAAATCCACTGTAACACAATAAAACACTGAGTGCAGACTTTTAAATCCACTGTAACACAATAAAACACTGAGTGCAGACTTTTAAATCAACTGTAACACAATAAAACACTGAGTGCAGACTTTTAAATCCACTGTAACACAATAAAACACTGAGTGTCAGACTTTTAAATCAACTGTAACACAATAAAACACTGAGTGCAGACTTTTAAATCCACTGTAACCAATAAAACACTGAGTGCAGACTTTTAAATCCACTGTAACACAATAAAACACTGAGTGCAGACTTTTAAATCCACTGTAACACAATAAAACACTGAGTGCAGACTTTTAAATCCACTGTAACACAATAAAACACTGAGTGCAGACTTTTAAATCCACTGTAACACAATAAAACACTGAGTGCAGACTTTTAAATCCACTGTAACACAATAAAACACTGAGTGCAGACTTTTAAATCCACTGTAACACAATAAAACACTGAGTGCAGACTTTTAAATCCACTGTAACACAATAAAACACTGAGTGCAGACTTTTAAATCCACTGTAACACAATAAAACACTGAGTGCAGACTTTTAAATCCACTGTAACACAATAAAACACTGAGTGCAGACTTTTAAATCCACTGTAACACAATAAAACACTGAGTGCAGACTTTTAAATCCACTGTAACACAATAAAACACTGAGTGCAGACTTTTAAATCCACTGTAACACAATAAAACACTGAGTGCAGACTTTTAAATCCACTGTAACACAATAAAACACTGAGTGCAGACTTTTAAATCCACTGTAACACAATAAAACACTGAGTGCAGACTTTTAAATCCACTGTAACACAATAAAATGACTAATTAAAATGTATTGAATAAATCCCCTACATTAGTGTAATTAAATTATAATTGTCTGTTTGAAGGATGCTGAGTGAATGGAATTTCAAGCCTCTCTGCCTCACACTAGAAAACAATTAGGCTATTCTGATTATAAAAAATGTAGATTTTTTTGCTATTTGTATTTGTTTATAAAAAAAAAATCCAAAATATTGGTTCACCGTCTACAATTTTCTACAAATGAAAATGATAGGTACACGTAATTATAATATCTTTCAATTTGTACTCCAATTTGTTTTACTACGGATGGGACTTGGGTTCAGAAACCATGGGGGTGGGGTGATGTGTGCGGAAGTGAAATCAAAACTCCATGGCAAACCACCTCGATCCTGTGATAGTTAGTAGTCGTTAGTGATCTGCCAAGTGATCCAGGAGCGAAAGGTCGATAGATCTCCATCTAATTGTGAAATCATGGAATCAGACAAGCTACTACATGTAGCTAACTTTAGCACGCTGTTTGTGTGCATGGTGCTAAAGTTTCCGCAAATATTTGTTTTGATGCGCGCGAAATCGACAACGGGAGTGAGCCTCAACAGTCTTCTGCTGGAGCTAACAGGGTATGTTTTACAAAGCAGTGCATGGGTATATTATACTCCATCCTAATATTTGCCTTTTTAGGTTCTATGAATGTGTAATTGGTTGTTGATTGATGTATTGCATGGTGTTTTAATTGTAAAGTAGAAATCGAATTATATGTGATGATACATAATTGCAACGCCTGCGAATACAATGTAGCCGTAAACATCATGCATAAATTAGTTACATTGTATCTAGTGAACCCATGACATGCAATACACTTCCTGCTGTCTGTGGTTGACTCATGTAAAATGAAAGTAATAGACATTCAGAAGAATGATGCCAAACCATACAGTCAATCATGATGACTTGTATAGACCATGTTGCAGTGTTGCTCTGAATTGAAATATCCTTGTTGCAGGGCAAGTATTTATCAGATTTGGTTCAGCATCAGATTAAGAATGGCCCAGGGAATTTGACCTCATCCACCCAGATGGCAGTCTGCCTATTTTGTGACAAAAACAATCTGTGCGTTTGCTTGTTCTAATGGAACATGGAGAAGTTCTATATTTGTGAGACAGTAAATATATAAATGTGAAGAATATCAGTTATCATCCTCCACAGCTCACTGGATCCTGACACTGAGCCAGAATTACACTGGCTCTCAGGCAAGGAAGGAGTGGTAGGCCTACAGCATGGGTAGTTTACTGTCTGCCTGCTACTTCACATGACTCATCATGGTTTGTTGACGTTGCAGTCCTTAATTTCTCCTTTTAGCAACATTTACATTTTAGTCATTTAGCAGACGCTCTTATCCAGAGCGACTTACAGTTAGTGAATACATATTTTTTTATACTGGCCCCCCGTGGGAATCGAACCCACAACCCTGGCGTTGCAAACGCCATGCTCTATCAACTGAGCTACATCCCTGCCGGCCATTCCCTCCCCTACCCTGGACGACGCTGGGCCAATTGTGCGCCGCCCATGAGTCTCCCGGTCGCGGCCGGCTGCGACAGAGCCTGGATTCGAACCAGGATCTCTAGTGGCACAGTTAGCACTGCGATGCAGTGCCTTAGACCACTGCGGCACTCAGGAGACAGCAACACATCATCCTCTCACTTCTCTCATATCCTGTTGGCTTGAAGCACGTTGCACCATATATCACGATACACACCTAACTTTGTTATTGTTCTGGACCATTCTCCAATTTGGATCCTGAAGCATTATCGTATGAAAATGCCCTTAAATACAGCGCATGGTCGGGTCAGCAGTTTGCTCCCATGCTGATCCATGACTTGCTTGTTCACTTTGTGTTCCCTGTTGTTCCTACACAACATTATTTTATCTTCCATAAACTTAATATCACATTTCTGTGTTTTAGGTTCATTGTGTTTGTCACCTACCAGATGTCCAATGACTACCCACCCCCAACCTACTTGGAGTACCCCATCCTCATTGCTCAAGGTGGGCCATCTTTCTACCCTTGAAATAGTCCTGTTTCCCTGTTAACAATACTCTCCAGACAAGAATCCAACCACATTGTTAGCTGCTGACTTATCTTGCATCCCCTCAGGGTCGTTGCTAACCACAAATGGTAAAAAATTAAGATAACCTATTGTGGTTGTAACTCCGGGTATTTGTTCCCCAGTCCTACAATGGGTGGCAAAATGGACTAGCCTTGCATACCTGATCTCTGTATAAGTTTGTTACACAGTGAGTTACAGCATGTTCTTTTAATCCTGTTGTGTGCCATTATTTGTCCCAGATGTCATCCTCCTGCTCTTGATTCTACATTACAATGGCAGCCTGAAGCAAAGTCTGATTTATGCAGTCGTGTATCCTTCCCTGTTCATGCAACAAACAAACACACACACTACTCCTGATTTCACACACACACACACACACTCCTGATTTATGTAATGCTAACATTTTGGAAATTGGTAGCAGACCCTTGACATGGCTTGATCAGGTTTGTGGGAGGCTGGCAACTACTCACTGTGCAGAAGTGGATAATTGATTTGGCCATGGTAAGTAGAAGACTGAGGAGAGATGTGAAAAAGAGCAGTAGGTTATTCAGACAGTCAATGTCCACAATGCCAGAAAGCTTATTGAATAATGAAGAACAGCTTGCAAAGGACTCTTATTAGTCACATTGGTGAAATTGTTTCCACAGCCAAATATAGGCATAGCACCAGTCAATGATGAAATAACATTGAAAGGTCTTTTGAGCAAGTTATCTAAATCAATTGTTTACCTTTCTTAACCTTTCCATCTCTCTCAGAGCCTGTGTACATTCATCAGTGCTGGCAGTAAGTTTGCCCAGCTCCAATGCCTGTGGCAGTCCAAGGACTCAGGCCAGGTTAGCGCCCTCTCCTGGGGTATGGCAACCTACACATGTTTTGGTGAGTGAACCGTTCTAAACTGCATACACACACACTTGCCCAGCCCCATATAGGCCATCACCCCTACAGACCTGTTAGGATATAAGTATGAGTGATACAGCAACAAATTTCACTTAGCCTAGAGGGCAAATTGGAGCTATGACCAAGTGCCTGCCTAGGTGATATGGCAACCACAGCGATGAAGATAGTCATGGAATGTAATAATGTGATTTGTTAACTGTCTGTTTCAGCAAGGATTTACACCACCGCTGTGACAAGTGGAGACATGCAGGGTAAGTCAGTCCTGCCACTGCAGTTATCAGGTGTTGGCTGGAAAATGTCTGTTATTACTCATTACATTAGTGCGCAGCAGCATGTTTCTCTAACATCTCTGTTTTGTCTTCTGTTGTCCACAGTTCTGGTGCGATTTATTGTCATGACACTGCTGAATTCATGGGTGCTAGCTACAGTCTTCTACTACAGGAAAAGGGCTGGGGAAGTACAGAAGAAGCAGGATTAAGTCTCCTGTCACAAACATACCTGACAAATAGTTGTTACTACCGCCAATGTCAAAAACTGGACAATTTGCCTGCACACTCTTCTTTCAATGTTTAATTTCACCCAGACATGAGGCTGAGAACTGGACAGTTGGCAAACCAACCATTTTCATATTGAAAGGAGGATTTTATTTTCTAAAAACAGTTTGGTACCTTTTTCTTTTTACATTTAATGCTGGTTTTAAGCCAGACATTTATTTGGCTGTATTCTCAGTTTGACATCAGGTCAAGTTAGTGCAAACGATTTAAAAATGAGTGTTGACCAAACATTGGGTGTGTTAATTAATCCTTTCTGTTGAGATGCAGATGTGTTTCTCAGGATAAAACATTAAACACAGCTAACTTTCAATACATTTTCTAAAGATTTGAATCAATAAACCCCATACCCCCTTTGAAATAGTGGCCTCCTGTTATTAGGTAATATTGGAAAGCGAGATAGCTATAAAAAAATATGCTAAATTAACAATTTGACTGGTATATGCTGATATCACACAGGACAGTGGTGCAAAATCAACTTATTTTTGACAAATTACTTTGGTATAGAAAAGACAGCATACACCTCAATGACCTAAACCAGAAGGCACATACATTTCTTTATTGTAGCAATATCAAACATGCATTCTGGATGAAGCGCCTTTAAATACAAAGTGGACAAGGCAGTATAAATAATACAATGTGCACTGTATGTCATGTAAAATATATATTGTGTATATTAATATTTATATATGTATAAAATGTGCTTTTCAGAAGCTTCTTGGATAAAGCAGAGCACTCAAAGCACACCATCTCTCCACCTGAAATATGAGCCAGATACACACCACGTGCCAAAAGAGGAATTCTTTACAAAAATATCAGAAAAACATTCAACAAGCTTCCATTACATGTTACTGTTCAATACATTTGTTGAGACTTTTTTTTCCATCTTTATTTAAACAAAGACAAGTAAACTTTTGATGTTCCCCTCTTCCATGGAGAAAAAATAAAATAATCTTACTGTAGGTGGACTTACCAAAGGAAAGGCATATTGGCAATAGCACTTTGAGGCCTTTGGGGCAAAATGCAACATCACACAGATGATTTTGAAGATGGTGGAGGGGCCCTCATCAAGTAGCTTTTGAATAGAAAATAGCATGTTTTCTAAGTCATACAATACTCGTGCATCATCTCTGGTTTGCTCAGATGTACATCCAAACAATGAAGGAGTCATGCTATGATATTAATGCTGCACCCCTTGCATTCAGCATTTCCCTCTTATAATTGTCATGCTGCGTGGTCTAAGTACATTTAAGGCAATGCCAGGGTGAAGTGCTATAAGGTCAGTGTTAGCATCTGAACTTGAGCTCTATCCACCTACCAGTTTACAGTATAGTTCTCCTTGTGGGCGTAGTGTTCTGCACTAGATACTTGTGAACTGTATTATTGAAAGATGTCTTTGCCACGAGCATTCAGGTTGGCAGATCACCTCAAACCTCATCTCTTGATCTCTGCTTTTTCCAATGTGGATTTCTTAAGTGTTGTCAAGGTAAGTGCTTCAGCCCTCTGCTCTCACATGCCATTTGGCGTTATTGAGGCTGCTGTTCTGTGTTGAGTGAAAATCGGGATACCCAAAGCCAAACCCCTTCCCATGGCCTCGACATCCAACCGTCCCCTCCTTAAGGAACCTGGAGAGAAGTTGCTCTTCATATGCACACAGACGACAAGTAGGTGTGTTGGCCCATCGTTCTCGGGAGACTAGCAGTTGAAGTGACTGACAAAAAATACTATAGAACTCTCAAGGCGGAAATGGGATAGATAGAAGTCTTCTGGAAGAGTGAAGTGGAATCAAATTTGTGCATGGAGGAAATGCCAAGTGGAACACTGTTTGTTATCAGTCTTTTGATTGCGTGTTAGGAGGAAACACCCACCACCTCGAACCAGCACCACATTCCCAAGTAAGGTTAACTGGAAAAAGAAAAGAGGGGAAAAGTATTAGTTTCTCCAAAACCAACCCACAGCTCAGCGACATTGCCTGCACCACAGCATGCATCACCCCACATAGCATGCAGCTGTCACACATACAAACACCTATAGTCAACCTTGCAGAATGGATCTTTTGATTGTATGTTTTATTGCAAATCGTCAAGTCATCGGAAATAAACATACAAACCATCATATTATAACACTTTATCTTCTACATTAAAATGACTAGACAAACACACACACAAACACAGAGAAGAGGTAAGTCATGATGTGTCAATGGCCACTTTTGGAGTCTTCTCGTTGCATCCTGGGGGTGTCGGATCTAGGGGGACTGAGGTCAGAGGGAAAAGGTCACACAGGGTTCAGGAGGCGTCTGATATAAGAAATGGGATATCCAGAAAGGAAAGGGTTAAGGGTCCGATCATAGGAATCAGATCCAGTAGGGTTCCTGGAAACCTAAAAGTGTATGGAATATTTCCTGACATATTCAACTATGAAGACGAACACATGCACATTTAATTTCTTAAATTCAGGTACACAAACCATTTCCTGGGCATGGTCCAAGAATGCCAGGAAATAGATTAGAGAAATTTAAGATAAACAATATTCAGCTGAGAATATCAGTTCTATTCCAATACAACCAAACTCACTGCACACCATGCCTTACTGAGGATTTACCAAGGCTTTTACCCTATCTGCTCATCAGAAATCAAAAGCATCATCATCGATATCATCTAACTCCCAATGCCAGTCCTGTAGGTCAAAGCCGAGCAATCTGAAAGAGGAAAGTGGTGTTGAGCATGGCCCCAAACCACAGAGCACTGGTCACATCCTTTTCACATGTAAGTATTTGATAGGTGTAAGGTTACCCCTTTTTCCATCCACCAGAGCCCTTGCTTTACGGTCTACGTCTGGCCTTTGGTTTTACCTGCTCTTGCTGGGGGGCAGCTGTCTGCTGGGCCGCCTCATGGACTGGCTGGGCTGGACCTTCATGGTAGCACGGGGTGAGGAGCGGGCAAAGTGCTCAGGGGCAGGCGGCTTCTTTGGGATCTTCTTGATCAGTCGTCCCACCCACTCCTGCTGCTCCTCCTGCGACACAGCCAGCAGCAGCAGGTTCTTGGCCATGGATACGTCATAGTTCACTGCAGGGGGACAAAAGGAAGGGTTTATATTGTGTTTTTAAGACAAAGAACTGTGCAAACAAACTTACGAAACAGCGCTGCACACCTCAACCCCCTAACCATCCCTTGATATGTCCCTGACAATGTATTTTTATATGATTACACAGTGCCTTCAGAAAGTTCATACCCCTTGACTTATTCCACATTTTGTTGTGTTACAGCCTGAATTAAATACTTTTTTTCCTCACCCATCTACACACACACACATTACCCTATAATGACAAATTTATTGAAAATAAAATACAGAAATCTCTCATTTACATAAGTATTCACAACCCTTTGCTATGACGCTCCAAATTGAGCTCAGGTGCATCCAATTTCCTTTGATCATCCATGAGATGTCACTACAACTTGATTGGGGTCCACCTGTGGCCAATTAAATTGTTTGGAAAGAAACACCTGTCTATATAAGGTCCTACAGTTGACAGTGCATGTCAGAGCAGAAACTATATCATGAAGTTCAAGGAACTGTCTGTAGATTTCCGAGATAGAATTGTGATAAAGCCTATATCTGGGGAAGGGTATAAAACAATTTCTAGAGTGTTGAAAGTTTCCAAGAGCACAGTGGTCTCCATCATTGAAAAATGGAACTACCCAGACTCTGCCTAGAGCTGGCCGTCCGACCAAACTGAGCAACCGGGCAAGAAGGACCTTGGTCAGGGAGGTGACCAAGAACCTAATGACCACTCTGACAGAACTACAGAGTTCCTTGGCTGAGAGGGGAGAACCTGCCAGAAGGACAACAGTCTCTACTGCACTTCACCAATCTGGGCATTATGGGACAGTGGCCAGACGGAAGCCACTCCAGAGAAAAAGGCATGTGAAAGACTGAGATCATAAGAGATTCTGTGGTCTGAAGAGACAAAAATGTAACTCTTTGGCCTGAATGCAAAGCGCTATGTCTGGAGAAAACCAGGCACAGCTCATCACCCATCTAACACCATCCCTACCTTGAAGCATGGTGGTGGCAGCATCATGCTATGGGGATGCTTTTCAGCGGCAGGGACTGGGAGACTGGTAAGGATTAAATGGGGAACAATGAATGGAGCCAAATTCAGGCAAATCCTTGATGAGTGCAAACGACCTTAGACTGAAATGAAGATTTACGTTCCAACAGGACAATGACCCCAAGCATACAGCCAAAGCAACACTGGAATGGCTTCAGAACAAGAATGTGAAAGTCCTTGAGTGACCCAGCCAAAGCCCATTGAAAATGTGGAAAAACTTGAAGATTGCGGTTCACGGCCACTCCTCAGCTAACTTAACAGAGCTTGCAAGGAAGAATGGGAGAAAATCCCCAACTCCCGATGTGCAAAGCTGATACAGACATACCCAAGACAACTCAAAGTGGTAATCGCCGCCAAAGGTGCTTCTACAAAGTATTGACTCAGGGGTGTGAATACTTATGTAAATGAGATATTTCTGCATTTAATTTTCAATAAATTAGCAAAGAATCATAAAAACATGTTTTCACTGTCATTATGGGGTATTGTGTGTAGATGGGTGAGAAATCTATTTAATCCATTCTGAATTAATGTTCACAACAAAATGTGGAATAAGTCAAGGGGTATGAATACTTTCTGAAAGCACTGTATGTAACCCTGCTCTGCTATAAGCAACGACACCATCCTCACGCCCCACCCCTACCTTTGCAGGGCGCGATGATCTCCTCCTTTTTGTCCATGTGGTCCTTGTGGCACTTGATGTGGCAGCGCCTGCACTCCAGGGCGGGAGGAGGCTTAAACATGTTCCACAGGGGCTTGGTGCACGCCTCACAGTTGGTGGGGAAGTGGTAGAGCGTGGGGATGAACTCGTGGCCCTTGTGGCAGATGTAGCTGGACTTCTCTCCGCTGGCCAGCTCCACTGGGAACTCAGGCTCCTTCTTACACTCTCCCTCGTTGGCATACAGAATCTGAGGAGAGAAGGAAGAGATCATCATGGTCGATGTCAATCATTACCATCAACAGTATGAACTAGTCCCATCACATGAATCGTTAAATAAATGCATGAACAAAGAGCCATAAGAAGCAAGGGACCTGGAATATCCTGGGGATCTCTTTGGCATCAGCACGGTAAACATCCGTTTGAGTGACAGGCCGCACGTGGAAGAGTTTACTGAAAAGGGAAGAGAACAAAACGTTGAAAAGTTTAAAAAATATTAAATACAGTTATCTGCATTAGCATGATTTAAATTTAAATAAGAGGAGCAGATAGATAGTCGTTACTCACTCGATATCCAGCACCATGTAGGGGTTGGATAGCTCTTTGTCCTGTTCGCTGTTATAGAACAGAATCTTCTTGCTGCTCACAACCACATACTAGAGAGACAAGAAAACATTTTTAACTGTAGAACATCAATAATATCAAACTAATGTTTGATCAGTCAAGCCAGGTTGAAAATCTTTTCACCTTTCTCTCCCATCCAAACTTCTTGGTGTTGTTCCTCACAGGCAGTGAGAGCCATCCCTCTAATCTCATTTCTGTGAGAGAAAGAGGGGGAAACATTAAAACAGAAGGGCAATGTTGTGATAGATCTACATGCTTCACAGTTTGTACATATTCCCAGGAAACATAGCGTTTTCCATTTCAGTCCACAAAAATTATGTAAACAGCAGATACATAAAATGTCCACAGCAACTCCGCACACATTATGGATGGACTCAACTGCAAAACATGCAGGTTTAATGGTTTATGTTTCAGCTGCAGAGAAGTATTCCTTCATGATGGACAAAATATAAATCAATCAACCAATCAAATAAATCAATGTATCAATCACACAAATCATCTGAGTCATTAGTAGCCTATTATAAGTAGCCTATTATAGTGAGCCTGTACACATACTGGCAACTGGACAAGTCAAAAACAATCACATGCCAAAGACAATAGGAAAGATAGATGGCACTCCAGGACAAGAGAGTAAGTCACCTCATTTCCCCCCCATTTGTTTTTGGCCACGTAAAATAGAATAAAGGTGAAATCTTTCTTGTATTTAAAAAAGGGTGGTTACAGAAGGACTCTGAAGACAGCAGATAGGAAGGCCAAACCAGACTCCAAGTACTAAAACTGTCCAGAGATGGAAAAAAAGGAAAGAAAGGATAAACGAGAGGAAAGCAAATTGGAAAGGATAGAGGAAGACAAAGTAAGAGGTATATCAACATTACAGTAAAAGGTAAGTGTAAAGATCATAGAGTATATAAACTGTAAAGACAAAAGCTCAAGTGGTCTTAGTTCTTTATTTAGCAATAAGGCCTGAGGGGGTGTGGTATATGGCCAATATACCACAGCTATGGACTGTTCTTAAACTGAATTCTTCCGGTGCTCTAAGGCAGCCCAATAATTGTTTTCATTAATTGGTCTTTTGACCAATCAGATCAGCTCTGAAGAATATCTGATGTGATTGGTCAAAAGACCAATTAGTGGAAAAAAGATCATTTAAACGCAGCCTGTTTGCTACATACTTCAGTCAGACTGTCATCATTTAAGTTGTTTGTGGTGATGTCAAAATGAGGGGTGTAGTACAAAAAGTAATCAGTGATTGGATCATCTCTTACCAATCAGAGAATCATAGCCAATGGCAAATCTTCTAAACGCTGCATACCCACGTGTGTTCTGGCATTGGCCCAACCCATTGGTTTTTGGGAACAATCAGAACGGTTAGAATGTGTTTGCGTTCTAGAAATCGTTGGGGAGGTACTCAGATCCAGACTCATTGTGGAGAAGAAACGTCCGTGGCGTAGCGTTTGGCCGGAGCAAGGAGTCTGGGTAGCCAGGCAACTGTTCTTAGGCACCACGCAACGCGGACTGCCTGGATACAGCCTTAGCCGTGGTATATTGGCCATATACCACAAATCCGAGGTGCCTTATTCCTATTATAAAACAGGTTACCAACGTAATTATAACAGTAAACAAGTAGTTGTGTGTCATTCCCGTGGTACATTGTCTGATACCACAGCTTTCAGCCAATCAGCATCCAGTTAAAGAAAGTAACCAAAAGTCAATTTAAACATACATGTGAACAGGACTGCTTGTACATTGGGTTTTGAACGCACATACAGTATAAAATGGGTCCTCCTTACCTGTGTAGGCATCGTCCGCATCAAAGTCTGGCCCACTGCTGATGCTGGCTGATTCCAGGGAGGAAACGTTGGCGGAGCTCAGGAGGTTACGTAGCTGCTCTATGTCACTATCCTTACTGTCCAGGGCCATCTGCAGCTCGATGCGTACCTGACTCTCATCTGCTATTTGCTATTTGACACAAACAGGGGCAAAGGAAACATACATTTGAAATGTCTGTATATTGTATATTTTGAGGCCCCTGTTAACTTCGTTGATCTCTCTTGGTGTGACTGACCACCTGCATGTCATTGATCTCCCTCTGGTAATTAATGATGGTGCTATACAGGTGGTTGTGTGATGGTTAGTATAAGGTTGTGGTTGTGTTGCACTTGGACTGACCGCCTGCATGTCGTTGATCTCTCTCTGGTACTTGATGATGGTGGAGTTGAGTTTCTCCTTCTCCGATTTCAGCTCCAGCTGCAGCTTCCTGTTCTCCTTCTCCTTCCTGCGCACGTCAGTGTCGTTGCCGCGCCGACTGCCTGCCGCACGTACCTCCTTCCTGTTCATGATCTCCGCCAGCTTGTTCACAGCCTGATGCACACACAAGATAAATCAATAGTCATGATGAACATTAAAACAATAAAGACAAGTGTCTTCAACACGATTTCCTTGCTACGCAACATTGTAAAGCTTTGAAGAAATGACATTAAAATACACCTACCTGGGTCTTTAGTGTTCTCTCTGACTGGAGCTGCTTCTCAAACGCGAGCTTCATTTGGCTCATCTGCTGCTCGTCATCCTTGGACGTCTGCAGCTCTGAACACATTGCAAATAGAAGAATAGAACATTATCTGATGTTGAACGGAAATATAGCAACCACACAGACACCCACAGGCTGGAAGCAGAAAATCACCTTCAAGCGTCTCCTTGAGTTTGTTGTTGAGCTCCTCCTTCTCATTGGCTAGGTTAGCCACATCGCTGGTGAGGGTTCGGTTGGCCTCCTCCAGCTGGGCAGGAAAGAGCAGACAAAAAGTGAGACCAATCCAATAGTATTTAGCTACAGAAAGCATTCTCACGGCCCAACAGGTGTCACCTCAGTCAGACTCACAGATCTATTGGTTACAACGCTCAATTCCGTTGTTGTTTACTCCTGGTCCTGGCTATAGTCCCAGCCCAGTACTAGCACACAAGCAAACCTGACTAAGCTTATCAAGTTCTTGATGATTATTCAATCAGTTGAATTCTGTTTTCTCTAAAGCACTAAGCAGGGACAAAAGCCCAATCCCAATGCAGCCCACTGCGGCCTTCCAGGAACAGGACACGAGGCAGGGTTCGTACAGACAGTGGCAAGTCAAATTCAAGGACGTTCAAGTACTTTTTCAAGCACTAATATTTATTTTCAAGGACCATCAATTTGTAATAGTTCCTATTATGCAATTGTCTTTAGTCGGCAATAGTATATCGCCACAACCTCATGAAAAAACCCAACTAACTTATTACTCATCACTACCTGACAAGTTCTACTCAATAATACATGTTTTACTACTTATTTACTACATACAGGAGTGGTAAGTCAGGACTGAGGATGTTGACCGATTTCCTTATATGAACTGTAACTCAGTAACATGTTTGGAATTGTTCCATGTTGCGTTTATTTTTTTGTTCAGTGTACATAATATTAAATTGTCTTTATATTTAAATGGTCTTTATACTGTATTTCACTACATTTTAAGTCCCACAGGTTGTCCCAACACATAATGACATGAAAGTGAATTCTGATAGTGTATAAGGTCCTTAGATGACTCAAAAATGTTGTATTCTATACCCATTTGAAGAGAAACAAGTTATTAATGTGTTTGATTAAAGACTCTCAGGGGACCCTATTAACATTTTTTGGGACCCCACATGGGTCCCAGACCCCAGGTTTGGGAACCACTGTACTACTAACCTCTCTCCCTGCTTGCTTCAATGCTTCCTCTCTCTGTGTATCTCCTTTGCAGCCTGACTCACCACTGTCTCTCTCACTACTCTCTATAAAGGAAAGGTATTTTGTTATGAGAACTTATAGTAGCCCATCTTTTGATTATAGCTAGCTTAATTTCAGTCAACTGCTCCTGCTGAGTCAGGCTCCGTTCAACATTAGCCTCTAACTTCATCCTTCATCCTTCTAGCCAGCTATTTATAGTCCCCTGTAGCTCAGTTGGTAGAGCATGGCGCTTGCAACACCAGGGTTGTGGGTTCGTTTCCCACGGGGGACCAGTATGAAAATGTATTCACTCACTAACTGTAAGTCGCTCTGGATAAGAGCGTCTGCTAAATGACTAAAATGTAAAATGTAATAGCCAGAGCTCTAGAGTTATCTAGCTAGCTAGACATCTGACTGACATATCAGCGACCAGTTGTACACTCACTCTCTCGAGAGTCAGGGGGGGTTTGTTTGGGCGATGTCATACAAAAATGTATGCACGCACGACTGTAAGTCGCTTTGGATAAAAGCGTCTGCTAAATGGCATATTATTTTTATTATTACACGCAGGAGTCGAGGGATGTTAAAATAATTCCCACTGTCAGCGTCATCTCTGCTACTTGCCACTGTAGGTCTGGGCTGAGGTAGCTTCTTTCACCTGTCGGTCGTGGGCGGAGTTTCCCGTTGGACAGTGGTGAATGAATGCGCTGCTAACAAGGCAAATCCGGGGGATCAGGTGAACATGACGAGCATACATGAATCATTCATGATTCCATTCGTTCGCAGAGGTAGACGCAATTAGAACTCTGATCAAGATGCCTTCTGAGCGTTTATCAACGCGGGGAACGCAATAATAAGTGGGTAAACGATAATTAACCAAATAAAAATGGTGAGTAAACGCTATTTCATGAATAAAACATCCATGGTTGGGTCTGGCAAAACCCATTCATAAACATCAATATCCTGCCAGGCAGGCTTGAATCTACATTTGCCTGGCATTTTATCTATGGATGTGACGTTTGGCGGCGCCTAATCAGTCAGTTCTGTACCTGCCTGGCTGAGTGGCAGTGTGGGTGGAATGAGCGATCTCACCTGCTAACCAGAGCGCGAAACACGTGAGGAAATAAAACTCTGTAGTCTGCCAATACATTTTTGTAATATTTTTCATATTAACATATTTGATCATTTTCTGTTCTCCTCTCATTTTAATTCAAGTACTTTTCAAGTACCAACTTGAGAAAATGTCTGACTTTCAAGGTATTCCAGTACTTGAATTTCAGAGTGCCAAATTCAATTACTTTAAGCACCTTGTGCAAACACTGACCAGGGGAACATGGACCAGGGCTGACTCACCGAGCCGATGGTGATGTCCTTCTCGCCCAGCTCCTGCTTGTGTCGGGCCATCATCTCCTTGAGCTCCAGCTCCTTCATGATCTTCTCCTTCTCCAGGTCTGAGTACTGCTCCTCAGCGATGGAGCGAGCCAGCTGCTCCGAGTCTGCCTTGGTCAGTGTGATCTCCAGCTGCGCCGCCAGGGAGTCCCTGGGGGGTTGGGGGTGTCACAGGTCAAACATGTCACATCATGGAGCATTCAACATGGGTGTTGGTTGTGTTGTTTTTTGTGTCGTTCGTGTAAATAAATCAATAACGATATTCATTACAAGAACTCTGTAAAGAGGAAGCAGGCTTAAACCAGACCCTAGAGAAGCCCATCCTCTTCTGGGTATCTGGTCAGATGTTTATAAGTTCAGCAGGACTGGAGTTGTAGACTAGTCTCAGTAAACAGTGTAGGGCCACGCCACACCACTTCCTTGTACTCACCTCTCCTCTTGTAACTCCTGAAGTGATTGCTGCATGTCCTTGTAGAGCTTGCTCTTCTCTTCGCATTCCTCCTTCAACTCCCGCACCTGGGTCTTATACAGCGTCTGGGCAACACAGAGATGAGCATCTTCAAAACACAAATTCACACTTCAAGAATGCATACAAAGGGTGCAAGTTATCTCAAGTTAGGATTCCGCTCTCAAAGACAAACCATTAAGTGTTATAGTTGCAGCAGACTTACCGAAAAATACTGCTCAGCCTCTAGCTGGTCCTGAAGTTCCTTCATTTGGCCATCCGAGTCCTGCCTTTCTCTGTGGACACAAACACAAATTAAAGTTTGTTTTATTGTGATGCCATTTTCTGTCTGCATTATTAATTGCAAAACAAATCCAAAGTAAAACATTAAAAAGGGAGAGAAAAGAAAGTCAGAATGTTAACTGACTTGCGTAGCTCCTGGTTCTGTTTCTCCAGGCTGCGTTTGATTTCCAGCAGGTGGTTGGCCTCCTGTTTCAGCTGCTTCTCAGAGGTCTTCAGGGCATTTAGCTGCTGGTTCTGGGCCTTCAGGTCGTTCTGGGTAAGACTGCGCTTCTGGGTCTCCTGCTCAATCTTCAGGGTCAGGTTCTTCACCTCCTCGGTGAGCCTCTCCTTGTGCCTGCGGAGCTCGTCTAGTTTCTGCAGGGACTGCTTGTAGTCACAGTCCAACATGCTGCTATGTTTCTCCAGCTCCAACATCCTGTTCTCCACACGCAGCTTGGACGCCCTCTCCTCCTGCAGCTTCTGCTCCATATCTGGGGGAGAGAGCGAGAGGAGTGATTTATTTAATTGGATTTGACCCTGCTAACCAGAGTCTAGTTTATTTACAGAAGACTGATTCCTATCCTTTGTCATACCTGAGAACTCAGGAACGATCTTACCCTTCATGGCCTCAGACTTGGCGCCTTCGATCGACTCAATCTTGCTCTTGTCCGCAAGCCGTGCCTTGGTTGCTTTGTGTGATGCCTCCTCCTGCTCCAGTCCCTGTTGCAACACCTTCAGCTTGTACGTCATGTCTATCTCCTTGTTGTTCTTCTCCTACAGGAGAGAATAGGAAAGATAGTGGGTTAGAAAAGGCTCAAGAAAGTGCGCGAGAGAAAGTACGGAAATTATAGATGTAGTGATATGAATCAGTGTGGATTACCTTCTCCAGATCGGTGAGTTTCTCCTGTAGTTGTCTCTTCTCTGTCTCTGCTTTGGACAGGGTCTGTCTCACCTGCCAAACGTCATCCTCCAGCCCTGAGATTCGCCCTACAGAGAGACAAATGTCAGCGAAGGCCAAATCATGCTGCGAGAGACGTACGTGTGAATACACGCACACAGTCTCTCCCACACAAACAAAATCCCCACTCACCCTGCATGTCTGCGATGGTCTCAGAGCCCTGGCTGTGTTCTCTCCTCTCAGCCTCCAGTGCTGCCTGCAGCCCGATGAACTCCTTCTCCAGGGTGAGCTTGGAGCGCTCCAGCAGGCAGCACTTGTCCTGCAGCTCTCTGCCCCCAGCCTCCAGAGCTTGCAGCTGCTTGCCTGTCTCCGTCTGGGCCTTCCTCAGCCTTGTGGCCGCCTCTTGCTCCGCACGCAACAGAGCATTGGCCTCGTCCAGCTGAAGTATTATGGAGAACACGTCAGTCACTTTGTAATGGACATTCCAATCACACACATAAACACATGCACATAAACACTCAGTATACATACGTGGACATATGCACATTAACATATACAAACAAGCAAGCACATAAACACACAAAGCCATTTTATCCAAAAGCAGAAACACACACCTGTCTTTGTAAGTGAATGTTCTTCTCATTGGATATGTGCGAGTTCTGATTTCTTTTCTTCATTTCGTCCAGCTGGTCTCGTAGGCTGTTGACTGCAGACCACATCACAAGTTAGATATGAAAGTATACAGTGTGTGTGTGTGTATGTATACATATGTGTGTGTTCAGCCAGCGGTCCTCACCCTCGTTCTCCAGGCTGCGTTTCCTGTCTGCCTCGCTCTCTGCCTTGCGATGGCTCTCCACAGTCTTGTGCTGCAGTAGAGCCTTCTCTCTCTCCAGCTGCCTCAGACTCGACTCCAGAGCCTTCCTACTACTCATCTGTCAACGTACCACCACAAAGGAAAGTGTTGTAATGGAACAACTCATTATTTCTTGGTTGCCATTTTTCTCAGTTGAGTGCTATAGTTGTATGCTATATTGCTACTGTAGCTCCAAAAGTTCTCACCTCTTCATCAAGTTCTTTGGAGATTTTCTCTAGACGACTGGTGGCAGTTCTGCAGGAAGAGAGTGCATATCAACTTTCTCATCTCCCACGATCATACATGTAACGCTAATGGTTTTTAGTTAGGCCAAAGCATGATGATGCCTACCTGCACTTGTGCTCCAGCTCATCTTTGGTCTGCATCTCATTATTGAGCTGCTCTTCCAGCTGGTGGAGTTTCTTCTGCAGCTTGGCTGACTGAGCGAGGAGGAAGAGGAGAATGAGGAAGCACAACTGTTACGATACACTTCACCTGGACTCTGCTCTGACACTATAACTTACCATTAGACCACAATTTGTTCAAAGCCAATTGATATCAAAACAGTGGAAATTTGAGTCAAGAAAGAGAATACTTACCATCACAATATCCTGCAACAGATGATAAATTAATTAAGTTAGTTCGGCAAAACAATTTCAGTCAGCATAGAAGTCAATAAGCTGAGCCTTTCCAGGATTAGCTTGTTGTTTAGCTACTGGAGGAAAGCCTCATAAGTGTTTCAGCATCGCAAAGAACTTGACAGATTGTGTACAACTCCTCAGCTCAACTACAGGAATTATTCTATTATAACCAGTTATGACATGGTTATTATATATTTGCATTAGATTAATACGCACAAAATAGAATTACATAGAAATAGAATTAGAAATACCCACCTCTCCTTTCAAGGCTGCTGAGTTCACAGTCACAACTGTTGAGTTATTCACACCGCTTAGTAACCTGGAGGAAACACATTGGTGTTTGAGAAACTAACAGCGCATACACATTTTCATACTCCTTAACATAATCAAAGCTTGGTAAAACTTAGTAACTCATGTGAAGTGGATGGCTGAGGTCAAAATATTGCCCATGATGAGGAGGGGGTGTGATAAGGAGACATTCATTTTCAAGTCTTACTGGTCCTCCTTGAAGTATGTGAAACCGACGAAGGGAAGCTGGTTGCCCACAAAGGCCTTAGGAGTAGGGAAGGTCTCCACATCACCCTTGTCATCTTCTATCTCATCAAAGTTACTGGTGTCAATGTCACTGCTCAATTCTGGAACCACAGGAGCGGCCGCTGAACAGTTGCAAGAGAGGCGAGATGGGAGAGAAAATATATATATATATATTGTTTGTGTTATTCATGTAATTTCTAGGTATCCATATGTAATATGTTGTGTATTGTACCAGGATGATAAAATGTGTATGAACAAATAGCAGACCGTACAACAGAGACACCTACTGTTTCTAATGCTGTCAAAGTTCCATTGGTCATTCTTGAAAAAGGGATGTCGTTTGATCTCCTCCACTCCGTTGCGGCCCAGTCGTACATCCCTAAACACCAAATAAAGGGCCATGGACTTCTGTTATGAGAGCTGAGATAGTTCAGTCTGAATATCGTTCGGTTTATTAGGACTACTACCAAAATTACTTTGCAAACTAACTTGATGTTTTTGTAAATCTGGTTACTTGATTTATTTTTTTATCATTGTTACCTGTCTGTCAAGAATGCACAGATTAGGTTTTTGGCGTCTTTGGAGATCTCTACGTCATCTGGAAAGTTGAGGGAATTCTTGTGGTCCATTATCTTGCTGTAGGTTCCAACAAGGGAGTCGGCATAGAACGGTGTGTCACCTAATGGGAACATAGCAAAGAAATGAGGTGCAAAATAATGACAACATGTTCTAAGCAATTTGCTTACAAGTTCTCTAATATATTTTTATAGGCAGACTTTAAATATCTTAGTTCCAGTAAAATACTTTCCTTCAGTTAGTGGAAACTAAGAATGAGTCATTATTTCTGAGACAAACAAAGAGCGGGAACATGAACACCAAGAAGTTAAACAACACCAACTCACCGACTAGCATCTCGAAGATGAAGACACCTACAGACCACCAGTCACACTCCCGTCCGTAGTAACCATCTCCACCCTGCGACTTCAAAACCTCAGGAGAGATGTAGTCTGGAGTGCCAACCGCTGTGTCACAGTGCACCATGCCAGTCTGCAACAAGTCAATCCTTCAGTTAGATACACTATCTCAAGCAAACCAGGTATGAATCATCAAGTACAGTTGAGTTCAATAAGTTGGGTGAATTTTGGCCCATTCCTCCTGACAGAGCTGGTGTAACTGAGTCAGGTTTGTTGGCCTCCTTGCTCGCACATGCCTTTTCAGTTCTGCCCACAAATTCTATAGGATGGAGGTCAGGGCTTTGTGATGGCCACTCCAATACCTTGACTTTGTTGTCCTTAAGCAATTTTGCCACAACTTTGGAAGTATGCTTGGGGTCATTGTCCATTTGGAAGACCAATTTGCGACCAAGCTTTAACTTCCTGACTGATGTCTTGAGATGTTGCTTCACAAAATAGATGGCATCATGAGGAAGGAAGATTATGTGGATATATTGAAGTGCATCAGTCCCTCCTGCAGTAAAGCACCCCCACAGCATGATGCTGCCACCCCCGTTCTTCACGGTTGGGAAGGTGTTCTTCGGCTTGCAAGCGTCCACCTTTTTCCTCCAAACATAACGATGGTCATTATAGCCAAACAGTTCTATTTTTGTTTCATCAGAACAGAGGACATTTCTCCAACAAGTATGATCTTTGTCCCCATGTGCAGTTGCAAACCATAGTCTGGCTTTTTTATGGCGGTTTTGAGCGGCCTTTCAGGTTATGTTGATATAGATACTTTTGTACCTGTTTCCTCCAGCATCTTCACAAGGTCCTTTGCTGTTGTTCTGGGATTGATTTGCACTTTTCGCACCAAAGTACGTTCATCTCTAGGAGACAGAACGCGTCTCCTTCCTGAGCGGTGTGACGGCTGCGTGGTCCCATGGTGTTTATACTTGCGAACTATTGTTTATACTGATGAACGTGGTACCTTCAGGCAATTGGAAATTGCTCCCAAGGATGAACCAGACTTGTGAAGGTCTACAAATTTTTTCCTGAGGTCTTGGCTGATTTCATTTGATTTTCCCATGATGTCAAGCAAAGAGGCACTGAGTTTGAAGGTAGGCCTTGAAATACATCCACAGGTACACCTCCAATTGACTCAAATTATGTCAAAGCCATGACATCATTTTCTGGAATTTTCCAAGCTGTTTAAAGGCACAGTCAATTTAGTGTATGTAAACTTCTGACCCACTGGAATTGTGATACAGTGAATTATAAGTGAAATAATCTGTCTGTAAACAATTATTGGAAAAATTACTTGTGTCATGCACAAAGTAGATGTCCTAACCGACTTGCCAAAACTACAGTTTGTTAACAAGAAATGTGTGGAGTGGTTGAAAAACGAGTTTTAATGACTCCAACCTAAGTGTATGTAAACTTCCGACTTCAACTGTATATACAGTTAAGATATAATAAGCGCTTATCAGAGTGTTAACTTAAAGCACAGCGAGACACTAGAGATATTCCGCTGGAAGTATTGTGAGTAATGCCCTCTTTAGCACACTGCACAACTGGAACAAGATGAAAATATTGTCCTTACCGAGTCCATCTTCATGCAGGTTCCGAAGTCGGCCAGTTTGAGGTGTCCGTGGCAGTCCAGGAGCATGTTGTCAGGCTTGACGTCACGGTGGATGAAGCCCAGGGAGTGGATGGCATCCAGCGCCATGACCACCTCGGCCGTGTAGAACCGGGCCCATTTCTCAGGCACATCGTAGGTACTGGTGAGGTTCACCAGGTCCCCTCCAGGCATGTACTCCATCACCATGTACAGGTAGCGGTCGTCTTGGAAGGCACAGCACAACTAGACACAGACCGGAAAGCAAAGACAATACAAGTTACAGGGTTCTCTTACATCACACTATTCTGGTTTGATATGGTTTGTGCAGATCGTTTTAAGACATTATATAGTGTGTGTCATATCTAGGGCTGTGGCGGTCACAACATTTCATCAGCTGGTGATTGTCAAGCAAATAAACTGCCGGTCTCACGGTAATTGACCGTTAATTACCATAAACACATTTGCATCTTCTGGCTTCCACACATAGCCTACAAGCCACTGATGCAGACCTTTGGAACATCTACATTTAAAAAAGTATAATACATCCATGTAATATAGCCTACACCATCACAATAAATCCATAATTTATTTTAGACAGGTCTAAAGAAACATGATATGAAGAAAATGTAGTCTATTATATTAGGTACTGATCTGGCTATGCCATATGGCTGTGGGCTACACTAGTTCATTTAGCAGACAAGGTTTGCTTAGAATTCAATGGCATTATTTTATAGTATGAAGAATACAATTGAATAAAATAAAAATGATATTTTTTCCAAACGATTTGAGGGAGTGCGCACATGCGGCTATTCTGTGTTGAGTGGTTAATTTAGAGTTATTTATGTAACTTTAGTTGTGATACAAATGTTGGGCTATATGTTTTGATTTTTAATACTTTCTAAGGCTGCATGATGCGACTAATGATGATTTGAAAAAAGTAGCATGAAAGGCATGAGCTCTGCTTAGTTTTTTGTGCAGGCTTACACACTTCAGTCTCTCATTCACAATTTGTCAAGCACTTGACAATGCCTTGAATTTCCCGGCGGCATCTCCTTTGTGTGGTCGTAATGCCCCCTAAAAAATTCCATGCCTTTTGCGGCCAGTGGCTGAATATAATAATTATAATTCCCTTCTCCCTGCATGCTGCTTGCTCCGAAGCACCTCTCACTCACATGGCTCTCCGTCACGTGATCAGGTCTTTCTCACAGGCTACAAGTGAAAACAGACACATCGAGGACGCAACTGCGTGCGTCCTTATCCAATTCCGAGGCGCATATTGAAGATATTGGAAGAACTGTCCACATATATTTTCGTCAGCCAAAAAGATGAGTAGGCCTAACGAACTGCAAAAGCCTTAGCCTATGTCAATCTACTATCGCGCATAGTACAAAAGCCGACCTATTCTGTACGATAAATAAATATTCCAAACATAGTCTGGGGTAGTTGTGGGATGCGATAGATCCCAAATTAATACAACAACTAGCATAAAAAAAACATTTTTACGCAATAAGGCTGACGCAACATATCAGAACGTTTATCTTAAAATGTTGATAAAGTATTAGGCTATTTGTTCACATTATAAGCGCAGCAATGCGCACACGGCAGTAGGTTATAAGTGCGAATGTTCCATTAGCAGGAAAACACCATTATCAAAAGTAACCGCAAATGCGATTGGGCATGTAATGCTTTTATTATAAAGGTGCATTTTTATGGTGAAAATTATCTTTCCCAAACATCAAACACACGCGCTGCATATGTATGCCAGTTAGGCTCTACACCCGTTGTAAAGCGGATTCATGTACTTAATTTTAAGAAGTTATTTGGCCACTTTAGTTGTGATACAAACCTCATCAAAACATATAGGCTTATAGGCTAGGCTACATGAGGGGTGCGACTATGATTTGAAAAAGCAGAGAGAAAAAAAGGTATGCATTGTTTCTTGCCTTACGCTGGGCATCATTCACAAGTGATAATATATAGGCTAATAGTCACCCATCAGACTATTCTTGATATGTGTGAAATTTGGTTTGGTTTAGAATGGAACATTATCATGCACCCGTCTTGAAACAGGGGCAGGGGGAAAAAATACATGTAATCGATGCACTTAAATAGCGAATGGAGGACGCTTTACCTGTGGTTCATTTTCATGCCAGCCAGGTAAGCCATACTCCTGTTGTAAGGAGAAGCAATGTGCTTAATATTAGGAAAGTTGAGAAATAAATATAGTAGGCCTAGCCTATAGAAAGCTGATGGGATCCTCCTCTTTTTAATAGAGGCCATCACTCCGTTTTCTCACAGAACTGCATAGCCTATAGAAATGTTGCGCAACATGGGCTCTCATGAAGTGTTTGATTAGATTTTCGATTACATTTGCATTGATGCGAGTGCTGAGTCCCAGACAGTTAGCAAGTTTGGTAGGCTACTAATGACCATCAGCAGCATCAGAGCTTGGAGAAGGCCAATTACTGTGACTAGACGGTCACGTGGAATTTGACTGCTTTCATGACTCGTGACCGCCGGTGTGGCGGTAATACGGTCACCGTAACAGCCCTAGTCATGTCTTACTTGTACGACCCAGGGACTGTTGGCGAAGGCCATAATATCCCTCTCCTCCCAGAAGAAGGCAGAGTCAGATCGTTTGATCATCTCAAACTTGCTCAGCAACTTCATGGCATACACCTTCTGAGAGGCTTTGTGTCGAACCTGGGGAAAACAAAGGAATTAAAGTGACAGAAAGAGAGGCGGAAAGACAAAGACATAGGGGGAGAGTCAAAACTAAGTGGTGTAGTGAATACGCAGGTCCTTAACATCTCTATGAAATCTCACCAGCTGAACCTCGCCAAACGCCCCTCTGCCGATCACCTTCACCCTGTCAAAGTCCTCAGACTTCATCTGAAACTCCCGTATGTGCCCCATCACCTTCTCATCTGCATGGAGAAGAGAGGAGTCAGTCATCCATTACACACACATTCACATTGACTATTATCAAACATATACTTACATCTGTTTAAAAAGGTTTCTACGTTTTTGTTTTTCCGTAGGGCAGGGTAGTCCAGATCTAGTACGAAGGCATTGATAGAATCCTGAAAAAGAGAAAGGAAACTCGTTCATCGGAAAAGAGAAACCAACATAAAACAATAAATGTAATTCAGGAATTGGGCATAAAATATGATCTAATAAAAAATTCCAGAACTTCAATTGAGTGAAGTGAAATTGACATAACAGGCCTAAAACACAATGTATGGCAGTGGATTTGTCAACAGTCATTCTGACACCAACAGATAATCTGTTGCGGTTTGTAGTTCATTCCAAGAATAACATTACAACAAACCTTACTATAACCTCTCTGATCCTATGTGTGTCTGTTTGTTTGTTTCCCCCCTCTCCGTACTTTGCAGAAGTCAGTGTACACTGTACAGCTTGCTGCCATATGTTTAATCTCTACACTTCCCAATAAAGGACGTACCTTACACAGAACTCCTATTTAAGGAGAAATAGCACATGCACAGACACGCTCACACGCTCACGACCACACTGACATCTTCCTTAGAGCACAGCAATACAGGACATGGTCCACCCCACCCAGCACTCTGAAGATAATGTCACTGTGTCATGAAGCCAGTCCCTCAGTGTGCAAGTAATTTCCTCTTTAGAGACAACTCTACGTAGCCCGGCTATCCCTACTCAATGGGCTGTGAGAAGAAAAAAAGTGAGGCTACACTTTTAAAATAGTGGACTATAGAAGTTGTATTAGCTGGCATTTATTTTGAAACATCACGGTAAAATAGCGATTGGTCATTACCACAATCACTTCATTTAGGGTTCATTGAAAAAAGAAAAGGTGCAATTACACAAAGCAGCTGCATGCCTATGAAGTAGTCTACAGGTACAAAGAAGAGCTGCATTTACTTCATTGACATCAACATAGTTGTAGTCCTGTGTAGCTCAGTTGGTAGAGCATGGCGTTTGCAACGCCAGGGTTGTGGGTTCGATTCCCACGGGGGGCCAGTATGAAAATGTATGCACTCACTAACTGTAAGTCGCTCTGGATAAGAGCGTCTGCTAAATGACTAAAATGTAAACATAAGATTCCATTATTACCACATAATTTCCATGCCCCTCCCCTATTGCAAAAGCAACAGGAAATACTTTGAGTCTATGTCCATTCCATGCGTGTTTTTGGGCTACACCCGGGGAGATTCAGAACCCTTCTTTCAGACTAGACCGTGTGTGTTCAGTGGGCCAGTGTGTGTGTCTGTGTGTGCGCGAGTCCAGTGGTTATTGGGGGCTGGGAGGACTGAAACCTTAGATGGGCATGAGAAGAAAAAAAAAGCCATGATCCAAACATTAAAAACCACACAGAGAATGGGTTAGAAAGAAAAATAGGACCCTAACGTAAACACCTAGCACTTACCTAAATCTTTGTATACGCAAGTAACATACTGAATTTCTTAATTTCCACATATCTTTACAACTCCTAGAGATAGTGACTTGAAAACTACAGAGACACAAATAGATAGACCTATTCCTGAGAGTCAATGATTTTATGAATAGGTATGAACTCTTCAGACAGTGATGCTAAGCCAGGGACACTCTGACCGACTCACTGCTGCTATCTTATCAGTCCTCCCTGATCTGTCTGAACTATATCTGAACTACAGTGAACAAACACTGCTGCTTGGAAGCACACTGCAAATCTGCCATGTATTGGTTGCATGGCAACGTCTTAGAAACATGATTCAGTGGGTGACGCAGTAAGAACAAAGTTGGTGACAGGCCACACAAGTCAATCTCTACTAAAATATAACAATCATTATCAATCCTATAATCTAACAAAATGTATGCACACCAGCTTGTAGAAGAATACAATACGCATGTCAAGCTTGAACACTGTGGTAGGAGGAGCTGAGAGAAAAAAATGATGAAAACTAAGATTCGCACACACTGTATATATATTTTCTGTTGTATTTTTGACTGTTTTTTTTTACCCCATATGTAACTCTGTGTTGATGTTTTTAAATCGCACTGCTTTGCTTTATCTTGGCCAGGTCGCAGTAGTAAATGAGAACTTGTTCTCAACTGGCTTACCTGGTTAAATAAAGGTGAAATAAATAAAATAATAAAAATAACACAATAGTTTGTTGGTAGCAGCTGCACACCAGCAAGCAATAGCCTACGATTTAAAAACATCAACACAGAGTTACATATGGGGTAAAAAAAAAACAGTCAAAAATACAACAGAAAATATATATACAGTGTGTGCGAATCTTACTTTTCATCATTTTTTTCTCTCAGCTCCTCCTACCACAGTGTTCAAGCTTGACATGCGTATTGTATTCTTCTACAAGCTGGTGTGCATACATTTTGTTAGATTATAGGATTGATAATGATTGTTATATTTTAGTAGAGATTGACTTGTGTGGCCTGTCACCAACTTTGTTCTTACTGCGTCACCCACTGAATCATGTTTCTAAGACGTTGCCATGCAACCAATACATGGCAGATTTGCAGTGTGCTTCCAAGCAGCAGTGTTTGTTCACTGTAGTTCAGATATAGTTCAGACAGATCAGGGAGGACTGATAAGATAGCAGCAGTGAGTCGGTCAGAGTGTCCCTGGCTTAGCATCACTGTCTGAAGAGTTCATACCTATTCATAAAATCATTGACTCTCAGGAATAGGTCTATCTATTTGTGTCTCTGTAGTTTTCAAGTCACTATCTCTAGGAGTTGTAAAGATATGTGGAAATTAAGAAATTCAGTATGTTACTTGCGTATACAAAGATTTAGGTAAGTGCTAGGTGTTTACGTTAGGGTCCTATTTTTCTTTCTAACCCATTCTCTGTGTGGTTTTTAATGTTTGGATCATGGCTTTTTTTTTTTTTTCTTCTCATGCCCATCTAAGGTTTCAGTCCTCCCAGCCCCCAATAACCACTGGACTCACGCGCACACACAGACACAAGTGTTCATTTTATTATTAATTTCCTTGGGCCTTTCCTGTTGTAGTTTGGCAACACAAATATAAAACATTGGAGGAAAAAAAAAAAAAAAAGTTTCATTTTCTGATACATTTTGATTCAACTACATGAACACACCTAGGACATGGAGTAATGCAGTTTATTATTATGATCTATTTCATATGAAACCTTTTCTTAGTCGAGGATGTTAATTGAGAACCAATTCTCGTTAGTTAAAGCAATAGCAACAGATCTGACAGGGACCCTCCCCATCTCCATCTCCCAAACCCTCCTCCCTCTCTCTGATCCCATCTCCAGGCATGTGGAACAGAAAACAACAGCCTCTGGACTTTAAAAGGCTTGAGTAGAAAGCAAATGTTTGATCAAATTCCAGATGTTTAAATATAGTTGTTGGGAGAAGCGAAGCCGGAGCCTAGGCGGAGTGAGGAGTATGCAAGGCAGAGCCCATAACTCTGAAATAGCCAGAGCCATAGTCTCATAAATAGCAAGGCCCCATGTCATACCGTGACCCATGGAGGGAAACAGACAAGCACCATGTCTGTATTTTGTCTAACTGCTGATAGATGGCTTGCCTGATATGTTCTGTTTTTGAACAGATGTGTTTGACGTCAGAGAAATGAAACCGCAGATACGTTGTCGACTTATTACTCATCAAGTATATTATGTACACCGAACAAAAATAGAAACAACATGCAACAATGTCAAAGACTTTACTGAGTTACAGTTCATATAAGGAAATCAGCCAATTGAAATACATTTATTAGGCCCTAATCTATGGATTTCACATGACTGGGAATACAGATATGCTTCTGTTGGTCACAGATACCTCACAAAAAGGTAGGGGTGTGGATTACAAAGCCAGTCAGTATCTGATGTGACCACCACTTGCCTCATGCAGCACATCTCCTTCGCATAGAATTCATCAGGCTGTTGATTGTGGCCTGTGGAATGTTGTCCCACTCCTCTTAAATGGCTGTAAGAAGTTGCTGGATATTGGCGGGAACTGGAACACGCTGTCGTACACGTCGATCCAGAGCATTCTAAACATGCTCAATGGGTGACATGTCTGGTGAGTATGCATGCCATGGAAGAACTGGGACATTTTCAACTTCCAGGAATTGTGTACAGATCCTTGCGACATGAGGACGCACATTATCATGTGATGGCGGCGGATGAATGGCACAACAATGGGCCTCAGGATCTCGTCACGGTATCTCTCTGCATTCAAATTGCCATTGATAAAATGCAAGTGTGTTCTTTGTCCGTAGCTTATGCCTGCCCATACCATAACCCCACCGCTATCATGGGGCACTCTGTTCACAACGTTGACATCAGCAAACCGCTCGCCCACGACACCATACACACTCTCTGCCATCTGCCCGGTACAGTTGAAACCGGGATTCATCCGTGAATACCACACTTCTTCAGTGTGCCAGTGGCCATCGAAGGTGAGCATTTGCCCACTGAAGTTGGTTACAACAACAAACTGCATTCAGGTCAAGACCCTGGTGAGGACGATGAGCATGCAGATGAGCTTCCCTGAGACTGTTTCTGACAGTTTGTGCAGAAATTCTTCAGTTGTGCAAACCCACAGTTTCATCAGCTGTCTGGGTGGTTGGTCATAGACGATCCCGCAGGTGAAGAAGCCGGATGTGGAGGTCCTGGGCAGGTGTGGTTACACGGGTCTGCGGTTGTGAGGCCGGTTAGACTTACTGCCAAATGAGGCAAAACGACATTGAGGCGGCTTTTGGTCGAGAAATGAACATTCAATTCTCTGGCAACAGCTCTGGTGGACATTCCTGCAGTTGGCAGGCCAATTGCACGGTCCCTCAAAACTTGAGACATCTGTGACATTGTGTTGTGTGACAAAAGTGGCCTTTTATTGTCCCCAGCACAAGGTGCACCTGTGTAATGATCATGCTGTTTAATTAGCTTCTTGATATGCTACACCTGTCAGGTGGATGGATTATCTTGGCAAAGGAGAAATGCTCACCAACAGGGATGTAAACAAATTTGTGCACACAATTCGAGAGAAATAAGCTTTTTGTGCGTATGGAACACTTATGGGATCTCTTATTTCAGCTTATGAAACATGGGACCAACACTTTA